AGATATTAAGTTATAAATTCTAAAAGGTAAAATAGGTATTTACAAATTATATCTTGGGAAGTTATTTTAAGTTTTCCTTTATTAAGTAGTATAAATAAGTATATCTGTATAGAAAGTATAGAATATAGAATAGATATAGATAATTATTAGGGAGGACAATATGAGAAATTAAAAATTACATCATCTTGGCAGTTATAACATGTTTTCCCGTTATATTAGTATATTAGTATAGATATAGATATCTATACTACTTAACAAAGGGAAAACTTAAATTAACTTCTCATGATATAATTTCTTATTACCTATTTTACCCTCACAATTTATAATTTAATATCTATGTAAATTATTACTTTATATGTAGATTACCAAATCACTCATTAACTGCAATTTTATATATTGTACAGAAAACATATAAACTGACGATCCAATATTAACAAATCATTCTCTATTAGTTTAATAAATTCATAAACTTATGTAATACTCTCAAATTTAGATCGAAACATAACGTAATTTAATGATTTCTTATGTCTACATGTTTATGAATAAAAAATAAACTAATAGAGAATGATTATTCATAAACTAATATGTATATTTTTATTCAAACTAATATGAAAGCATTATACAATGCCTTCAGAATGATTATTCATAAACACATATTAGAAGTTTGAGTAATATTGTATGTAAGTTTGTGCACCTGAATTATCCACAAGCTTCAAACATATAAAACTGAATTATTTTTATATGTTGTATCACTCATTAACTGCAGTTTTATATGTTGTACATAAAACATATAAAATTCATTAACGTGCACTATTGCACTTACCATATTAATGTTATTTCTCAATTGAGGTTCAGATGTGTAAACTACTAGATCACATTGCATTATTGCAGTTTTTCTTTTTGGGAACATGACCTATTGCAGTTTTTTTGGAACATGACTTATTGCAGTTTTTTTGGGAACATGCTTATTGCATTTTTTTTTTTGGAACATGGCATATTGCAGTTTTTGTTTTGAATAACTGAATTATAAACATGAAAACAACTTATAAAAGTATGAATTTATTATGCACTAATACTACATCCTCTCCTCTAACATTAGGTATTTCTCTTCTCTTTCCTCATAATATCAAGGTAAACCACTCTTTATTTGTATGTCAATATTGTTGATGCAAAAGTGGCTGTTTATTTGTATGTCAATATTGCCACGTATATCAACACATCAATTTTATGAAACAGTAAACACAATATAAAATCATCATATTAATGAATGTTTTATATAAAATCATCATATTAAACAGATTGCACAATATATTCATCATCGGTATTTATGCAAATTATAATACCTCTAAAATAATGTTCACTATGAAACCCCATAATGTTTTATCTATCTATCTATCTATATGATAAAAGATGGATCTGGCTTAGAAAATAACATATTAACTAACTATAAATAAGTAATAGATCCATAAAATACTAATAAAATCAATGAAGAAAATGTTATGTCTAATTTCCAAGATGCGGAATTACTTAGTCACATCATTAGCTAAAATGTAAAATAAATAAGGGTGCAATTAAAAAATAAATTCATAATATCAGTGCACGCACAACAAATCCATAAAAAATATTAATAAAATCATTCAACAAAATAAAATAAATAATTTTGAAGAAAATAAAATCAATACTTTCCATATAAAATTTATTAATCACAACATAAGTTAAAATATAAATCAGTGTTGTGATAACCGGACCGAACGGGACGGCCCGACCGGTTCGATCGCTGACCGGACTTGAAAATGACTCTGGTTTGTAGTCTTAACCGAATGAGTAGTTGGACCACTTTCAACGGGAGAAATTCTGGTTCGACCGTGCTAAACCCGTTGAAACCGGAATAACCTGGGAATTGAACCAGGCGGTTCACTTAAAATTTTAAAAAAATGTAACATTATTCTATTATTTTGTTCTATTTCGGTCCAAAATAGACAGAGATATGTTATTTCAATATAGTTATATAAAATTATTAATTATATAAAATTGTACATTTATATATAATTATATATTTATAGACATTATTAATTATATTTAAAATCATCTGGTCCGATCTGACGGCTTAACTGCTTAAACCGGTTAGACCTAATACGAAAGCTATTTCGGCTTGATATCCGGCTCGGGTTTCACAACATTGATATAAACTAATATGTCTAAAATCTTCTCCTTTTGATACCTTATTGAGGATACATGTGAGATTTGTTATAAAAATCAATTTTTATTAGTAATAAATAAGAAAATATGTAAAATAATATAATTGTAAGTAATATAATAACATCATAAAGAAGATGAACTCGACAAATTTACATATAAACTCGATCTCCCATTAATAAGATAAGAAAAAGAGTATACTCACTAGAGTTAAAGGTAAAGTGGTGGATTGTACATATCCCTCCATCACCCGCTATCACTTTCACAACGTTTGGGATAATCTTTTGAGTTATGAGTAAAAGGAGTAATGTGTGCTCTACATTGTAATAACATGATTAAACGTGTGCTCTACTAATAACATGAGAAAAAGAATATTGTAGACAAATAGACATATAACAAAAGCTACATTCTCACACAATATAGAGTGGTAATTATTGTAAAACAAATAACGTAAAATGAATAAAAACAAAAGAGGAAGAGAGAGAACGTAGATACGTACCATTAGAGAAGTGAAGATCAATCTCTTCTTCCGCCAAAGAGTGAGAGAGGCGTAGGGTTTGCTCAAATTTTTTGTTTATATTTTGTTGGGTCTCTATGAGATTTGGGTTTGGGTATTAGGTTCTTTGTTATCAAAACCCTAATATGCTATTGGACTAAGTTTTACTATTAACACTTATTACAAACTTTGTTTATTTCCTCACCACTTCTTTCAAATAACATTCAAAAACTATAATTGTTCGTTAAACAATTAAGACAAAAACTTATATACATTAACCGACTATCTACACTTTTTTTTATATGTTAACATATTATTTATTATTTATATTTAATTATTATTAACTATTGAATACAATTAATACATACAATAATGAATAATATATTAATCATATATAAAAATTTACAATGATTATATATAAATATTATACTCAAAAATTATTGAATGATATTTTAACTATTTGTACTATACATAAATTCGCTAATAAGGAAGAGGTAGAACATAAATTTATGTTGGGCTTAGTTTCAAAAAAAATTAAAATTTAAACCTTTGTGTAGTATATTTTTCATTAAAGTTTAATTTTTTTTGTCTTACATACATCTTCAAATTCATGTGAATTTCGATTATCTATAGATATATTAAATATAACTTATAACCTAAGAGTTTGTTGTTTTCTATTATTAACATTTTTATCTTAAATTCATGGGATGAAAGAACAAAGTTTTGTTGATTGATTTGATTAAAAAATCAATAATAAGCTTTTAAGGTGAGCGGAAGTAGGTATTACTACATTTTTTACATATCATGTTTCCCTAATTAAAAAACATTTCAAATAATACTCATTTTAAAGTCGTCATTTTAATATAGAAATATTTTTTATTTAACTTTAATTTGTTGTAAGTTTAGGTTCTATTCATAATCATTTTCAGCATATTTCAACTACAACGAGATTGACATCGGTACATCAAATTGCTAGGTCATTCTTACGTCAACAATTTCGTATAGGTAATTTGTTTTAACAGGTGGAACATATACAATTTGAAAAAAATTCCAAAAATGTTATAGTTTATTTGTATTACTATAGTTAGTACATATCATATTTTGTTATATATAGTTTATTTGTATTACTATGACCAAACAAATATATACCAACAAATATTGAAATATAGGTAATTTTTTTATCTATTTCTTTATTGGGTGCTAAGTTGTTTAATGTTTTTATTGGACATGTATTTTGATAACAAGGTTTAACGTTTAATAAATTACACTCACACCCCCTGAGTTTTAGTGAAATTACACAAACCACCCCTCCCTTTTTTGTCCTTACACGAACCACCCCTAATTTTGTACATATGTTACACTGACTACCCCTGCATGATATAAAAGTGTAATATTTTAAACAAAAAAACGTGTGACGTGTGCAATTAATTAAACAAAATATTGTATATTGTGTAGACAAATTCAAATAATATAAAAACCAATGTGTCTTCATTATTTGGCTCGTTATAAAATAGTATAAGAGTTATTTAAACATTTCTTTGAAATTATTAATGTATTTTGTAATGACACAAAAATAATAATAAAACATTCGTTTTTGTACTATTTGAATTGTTACACAATATGCAATATTTTGTTTAACTTAATTACATTCATCACATGTTTTTTGTTTAAAATATTACACTTTTATAACATGCAGGGATAGTCAGTGTAATATATGTATAAAACTATGGGTGGTTTGTGTAGGAGAGATGAGTGATTTGTGTAAGGACAAAAAAAGAATGAGTGATTTGTGTAATTTCATTAAAACTCAAAGGGTATAAGTGTAATTTACTCTTAAAATTACGTTGAAATTTGATGAATGAATTAATTTTCACTTAAAATGGTTGTATTTTAAAGTACAGCACTATATATTTTTGTAATAACATGCAAAGAGAAATGATGATGTTTATCTAGATATTCGGCAATTCAATGGGATAAAAAAACATGCACTACCATTTTATCTCTTACAATGGTAGTGCCATTTTTACTGTTGTAATTTCTTAAACAAGTTTATTGTTGTTATTTGTTTTCTAATTTCCCTTTGTGACATTATGTTATATTTGTCTATTGTATCTATTGTCCATATTTAAGACTTTTGTCTATGGTATGTGGACACTTCGTTTAACGGGCATATAAATATTTTTATAGGTCTTGAGATACATATAGCTTTTTTTGTATTTAAGCCTTATGTTACTATTTTATTGTTTACTTTTTATGCATTACTCAAATGAACTTTGTTTGATTTTTTCTATTAACAATCTTGCTCTTTTGCAATCTATGATGTAACTTTATGTCATGTTATATGATTATCTGTGATTATTTATATAAAAATCACCTTCTTTCGGCTAAGATTAGAGATCTACTAGAAATTTGATATTCCGACTATGATTATATGATTATTTACTAAATTTAATATTATAATTGAAATGGTATAGTATAGTTGTAATATTAATATTGAAATATTTTTATATAATCTATTTTAAATTTTAGGTTATGTTCACTACATTAATATTGAACAACTACTCCAACTAAATATATGCAAATTATAATATGTAATACAATTTATTACATATAAACTACACTTTACAAACGATAGGAAAGTGAGTTGACAGACATGGCAGTACCTGTCAACACGCTAGTAAATATAGATAGATTAGTAAGAGTGCCTTCCATCCCTTTATATTCTGTATTTAAATAATAAATCCTTTCTCTTTTTGTGAAAAATAAATACTTTCAAATATAGGGAAATATAGTTTGGGACCACTATTTTCCATTTTCTCAATCCATTATTATTCTCTCTATTCCACCACACTAATGATTGCAATTTGTGAGTTTAGCTAAGATAATAAAATATAAACGGTTAATGTAAAGTTAACAAAATAATTAGGATGAAATTTTTTTTATAGCAAATATAAATATAAAAAAGGATCAAGGTAGTGTATTATTATTTGGTACAATACAATTGATTGGTGAATAAGTTTTAATGAGCAATAAATTTCCAATGAAATATGTCATGTTGGAACTTGTGTAGTTGGATGCCATTAGTGAGGACCTTTGGATGTGAAATTGAAAAACTCACAAGCCCCACATTGGAATAATTTAGAAAAATTCACAAGTCCCACATTGGAAAATTTTGTAAAAACCTCACAAGTCCACATTGAAAGATTTTGAAAAAATCTCACAAGTCCCACATAGGAGGATGCAAGAGTTTTGACAAAATCTCACGCTATAAATAGAACCATCTTCCCTTCATATTTTCTCGACCAAAGTTGAGTAAGGTTTTACTTAACTTTTTTTTTCTCCCTCATAATTTTCGCCAATGCATTTCCGACAAACTTCTCCCTATTTCTTTCTGTGACACTAAGAATTGGCACAGGCAACCATATAGTGGGAAGTTTGAGAACTGACACTGGTAGTCAGATTGTGGGAAAAGAATTGGCACGTGTAGCCAAAGTGTGGAAATTTTGAGAACTGACACTAGTAGTCAGACTGTGGGAAAATAATTGGCACTAGTAGCCAAAGTGCGAGAATTGGCACTGGTAGCCAAAGTGCGAGAATTGGCATTGGTAGCCATACTGTGAGAATTTCGAGAATTGGTACTGATAGCCATATTGTGGTGGGTGTATTTAAGAACGATTCTTACAGTGCAGTAAGAAATTGCATAACAGAGAACTATGCTGTTTTATCCTGGGGACGGCGTGGTTGATAGTCTGCTTGCACTTTTTGGGCAGTGCCACGAAACGTCTTAAAGAGAGCGATCTGGTCGTGACTCAGCTAGTAAGTATTATTTCGTGCCATTTAGAATTGTTGCAAGTTACGATAACAACAATTTTAAGACGTTTCTACTGCAATGGCACTCGTAGATAATATTACAGGTCCGAACAGCTTCGACCTAAGCAAACCATTTAGGTTTGACGGGACTAACTTCAAACGCTCGCAAACCAAGATGGAATTTTTCCTAACGGTTAAAAAGGTTGCCCATGTTTTGAAGGATGATGTCCTAGTGGTCCTTGAAGAAGCTGAGAAAGAGGAAAGAGAAAAACTAGATATTGATATAGCTCTGTGGAATGAAAATGACTACTTATGTAAGCATTTAATTCTTGGTGGGTTGTCAAATGATCTATATGATTACTACATCTCATAAATCTGCCTAATTAGTTTGGCAAGCACTAAAAAAGAAATATGATACTGAGGAAGCTGAAATTAAGAAATATGTTGTTAGCCGCTACCTCAAGTATCAGATGACTGATGATAAATTAGTAGAATCTCAGTACCACGAGATACATAAAATTGCTTATGAGATTATCACTGAAGGTATGCCCTTATATGAGCAATTTCAGGTAGCTGTCATTATTGACAAACTGCCACCTAGCTGGAAGGAGTTTAAAAACGTCCTAAGACATAAGACCAAAGAATTTTCTTTGGAATCTCTGATCATTCGTCTTCGCATTAAGGAAGAGGCTCGTAAGCAAGATCAGAACGAAGAAGTGTTGGCTTTATCAAGCAATAGCACTAGAAAGAAATTCTCAGGTGCGGTTCTGAAGCCTTCGGGCATCAACTTTAAGAATCAGAACTGCAATGGGAATAAGGCTAAGAACATCGGTCGCAATAAGAATTGGAACCCTGAAAAGGTCCAATATGCTAAACCACCTACTAAGAATGACTCTGGCAACCCATTTATCTGCTTCAAGTGTTGGAAGTCAGGTCATATGGAACGCAAGTGCATGAACCAACCAATGGATCATCCTCCACAAGCCAACATGGTTGAGGATCCACTTGTGGCCGTGTTAACTAAGGTCACTATGGTTGGAGGAAGTGATGGGAAAATACTGGTGCATCCCGCCATGTCTACTATGATCGTGCTATGTTCAAAACATACACAAATGCTAATAACAAGAAAGTGCTGCTATGAGACTCTCACACCACTACTGTTGCTGGAACTGGTGATGTGGAGCTGAAGTTTACATCTGGGAGGACTCTGATTCTCAAAGATGTGATGCATACTCTAGAGATGAGGAAGAATCTAGTTTCAGGTTTTCTTACTAATAAGGCTGGTTTTACCCAGACCATAGGAGCAGACTTGTATACTCTGACTAAGAATGGGGTATTTGTAGGGAAAGGTACGCCACTGATGGCATGTTTAAGTTAAATGTTGAAGTTTCTATTAATAAAATTTCTGATTCCATTTACATGCTGTGTGATTTTAACATTTAACATTTTAGGCTTTGTCATATTAATAAACGTGATATTTCGAATTTAAGTAACTTAGAATTAATTCCTAAGTTATCTAAAAATGATTTTTATAAATTAAAAGACATTATTCATGAAACAAATGCACCTTATTCACCTAAAATGAATGATAAAGCTGAAAGAAAGAATAGAACATTAACTGAATTAATAGTAGCTGTCATGTTAAGTTCTGATGCAGCACCCTCTTGGTGGGGTGAAATTTTATTGACTGTTTGTTATGTGCTAAATAGAGTCCTCAAGACTAAGAGCAAAGTATACCCATATGAAATCTTTAAGAATAGACAACCTAATTTGTCTTATTTCTGAACTTGGGGTTGTCTGGCTTATGTCCGGATACCAGACCCCAAGAGAGTTAAACTCGCTAGTAGAGCATATGAATGTGTATTCATTTGGTATGTTATGAACAGCAAGATGTATAGGTTTTATGATCTTAAAGCCAAAGTGATCATTGAGTCTAATGATGTTGACTTTAATGAAAAGAAATTCCTTTTTAAATAGAGGAATAGTGGGGGCACATCAACTAGTCACACACCTGTGATTAGGGATTTTGATAATGGGTTAGAAATAGAACCAGAAAACGTAAGAGAGCAAGAACTGTTAGAGAGTATGGACGTGATTATATGGTCTATACATTGGAGGATGATCCATCAACTATCCAAGAAGCTTTGACTTCCTTGGATGCTAATTTATGGCAAGAAGCCATAAATTATGAGATGGATTCTATAGAGTCTAACAAGACTTGACATTTGACTGACTTGCCACCTGGTTGCAAACCGATTGGTTGTAAGTGAGTTTTGAAAAATAAACTGAAATCTGATGGCACAATGGATAAATACAAGGCTCGACTTGTAGCGAAAGGTTTCAGACAAAGAGAAAATGTAGATTTCTTCGATACATTTTCACCTGTTACTAGAATAACATCCATTAGAGTACAAATATCACTCGTTGCGATACATGATTTAGTAGTACATCAAATGGATGTTAAAACCGCTTTTTTAAATGGTGATTTGGAAGAAGAAATCTACATGGAACAACCTGAAGGTTTTGTAATCCATGGGCAAGAGAATAAAGTTTGCAAGTTAGATAAGTCATTGTATGGTCTTAAGCAAGCACCTAAACAGTGGCATGAAAAGTTTGATAACTTAATCATATCAAATGAGTTTAAGGTGAATGAAAGTGATAAATGTATTTATTACAAATCAGAAAATGACATTTACACTATCATATGTCTCTATGTAGACGACATACTATTTGGTTCCAACATTCATGTTGTGAATAATGTGAAATCAATGTTGTGTAACAACTTTGATATGAAAGACCTTGAAGAGGCAAATATAATCCTTGGTATAAAAATTACTAGGTCAAATGAAGGAATTTCTTTGGATCAACCACATTATGTAGTAAAGATCCTAAAGAAATATAAATATTTTGACTGTAAACCTGCTAGCACACTATATGACCCAAGTGTAAAACATTTTAAGAACACTGGAGAAGATGTAAGACAAACAGAGTATGCTAGCATCATTGGCAGCCTTCGGTATGCCACTAATTGCACTAGATCCGACATTGCCTATATTGTGGGCCTATTATACAAGTTTACCAGTAGACCTAGTATGGAGCATTGGCATGCTATAGAAAGGGTAATGAGATACCTTCAGAAACTATAAACCTTGGTTTACATTACCAAAGGTTTCCAGCTGTCCTGGAAGGATACAGCGATGCTGATTGGAACACTCTTTCAGATGATTCCAAAGCAACCAGTGGCTATATATTTAGTATAGCTGGTGCAACTGTTTCTTGGAAGTCAAAGAAACATACTATTTTGGATCAATCCACTATTGAAGCTGAGATGATAACACTCTCAACAACTAGTGAACAAGCAAGCTGGCTTAGAAGCTTGCTAGCTGAGATTCCTATATGGGAAAGACCGATATCAGTTGTGTTGATCCATTGTGATAGTATCGCGGCTATTGCAAAGATTGAGAATCGTTTTTATAACAGTAAGAAATGACAAATACGTCGTAAGCACAACACCATTAGAGAGTTTCTCTCTACAGGAGCTGTTAGAGTGGATCACATACGCATTGAGAATAACTTAGAAGATCC